GGGGGGGGGGAAAGAGGAAGGCACAGTAATCATCTGACAATTTCCTCATCGAATGACATATTATAGGTAATTGATAAACCGTTGCGTGAAGTAACCTTCACCCGAACATGATTTTTTTAAAGAGAAGACACCGAAACGGGCGGACAGATCTTAGTTTAAACTATTTATAAAAGGAGGGGATGGGGGTTTCTATCGCAAGGTTGAAAAAAGAAAAGAACAGAAAAAGAATCCTTTTCTTAACATTAAACCTTGTACAATGTTGTACATTTGCAGAAAAACAGAGGCCGTGTTTATGGGGATGGACTGGAAAGGGGAGGGGGGGGGTGAGTCCTTCATGTGACACACAGAGGCACAGGTGACCGATAACTGTCTCAGTTAGAAGGTGTTAATGCATAATCAACTCCGCCAGGTCGTGTGACCGTGCGACAGAAGATGGTAACACTGGTCACATAGCGAAGGACAGAAACGTAGAGAGAAAAAATAAAAACCGTCAGACCACCGGGTAGCGGCCACAGAGAAGAGTGAAGGTAATATAATACCCTGTGCACATGCAAAACGAGTAGTCAAATTTCTATTTGATACGATCTGATACATTTGAGGGGTTCGAGTTTTTCCTTTATAAATAAAAGAGCAAAAGTTACCATTTAGATACAATTAATTTGACCAAATCCTCCAAAATCAATCAAGTTTGATTTTCTCTGTCACGATTTGATAGTTTTGAGGAAAACAGCCAATCATAAGGCACGCATGTCAAATCTGTTGTTTGCGCGCAAAATCAGCGGAAAACGATAATGACCAAAATGGACTCCCGTAATGAATGAGCTTCCAAAGCAAAGCAGAAATAATTTGATACAATACACACTGGCCAGCAGATTATACCAAACGCACACGGCAATCGAATTCAGTCGACATAAGTTGGGGAAGCCAGATTGTCCTCCAGTGAGGGGCAAAAGCTACAATTTTGGCACATTTCAACCAAATTCGACTCATGACCTTGAAAACCAAACGGGTTTGATTTTTTAAGGTAACAATCGAATTTTGTCAGGTTCAGTCGAATTGTGGTTAAATGATAGCTTTTGCCGACCTATGGTGCGAAAGCTGCAGTTCGCAGCAGGATTTCTAGTCTCTCGTAAAGTGTTGGGTCTCTTTGCCTTGGGTTGAGCCAATCTTATTCGTGCACATGGCATTGGGCTGGCTTGTGACAAATGGACTCAATAAATGAAATTAACTGACAACGTGCACTCGGTACTACCCGACCCGATCCGATCCAGTCTGCATTTGACCAATGGGCATCCGTTTCAACGCCGCCAACGAGACGTATAAGGTCAGACCGATACCACGGAAATGTCAAGCAGCTAACCAGAAGATGGAAACCGTGACGCCAGCGCTGGAGTT